CGAGGGGCAGTACGTATTCATCATACTTAGCGTACTTGACTACATCAAGGTACGACTTGACGAGCACTATATAAACATTTCCAGTAGCAAGTGAATCACATTTTCAGATTAAATGCCCAAAATACAAGGAACGAGTAAACAAATACATAGAAGATTTTAAAACCGCTATGGTTGTTGCGCAATAGCCTGAGAATTTTCCTTCTATCCACATCAAATACGTCAAATTCAAGCCAAACAATTGAAAATGCTGAAATGATGACTATGGTTAAAGCCTTTTATGTAACGCCAACTTTTTTTTTGTACACGAATGCAAGCAACTTTGGGCCTGGACACAAGAGGAAGATTTTACCACTTTTCTTAACAAAATAACATTTTACACATAAATATCAACGTAACAATTCATCAACAAGTGATAGAGTGCAATGATCCTAAGTATGTATATAAACGAGAACAGTCTAATTGCCTAAGTTGATAGTTGGATACAGTTCTAGCAATATATACTTACTTCGAGACGAAGGCTTTAATCTTATTGAGAAGGCCTACGTACTGCGAGTGCTCGTAGTGTGTAGCGTATGCTACCAATGTTTTGCAGAATTGAGCATCAAAGCCACGTTCTTCAAGGTAGCGGACAAAAAGCAGGTCGTGGAGATCCTGGAAGTTATCCTCTGGTCAATAAAGCACTACATTTTTTGACATGCTTATGAGAGCTTATGGAGGGTAAGAAAAAATCAGTGAGTTCATTGAGGGAAAATCCAATACTCCCGCTTTACTCTCAATTAAACCGGAGAAGGGAAGGAGAGCGATCTGACCAAAAGAGCACTATTATTTTTGTATATGTTGCCCCCTCCATAGTTCTAGTTCTCCCTAGTTTTCTACCTAACTATATTGAATGTTTGACTACTGAAAGTCATCAGCATAACAACTGAAGGAACACTGAAACAATCACACGATTGTGATTGTGAATCTTAAAAAGTTTGCAACCAATGCAACTGTTAAATGGCAAGTGGTTGGTGATTGCTACACACCTCCACTAGTGAAACCGGCAAGAAACAGCTAGACTTTCACCAAAACAGCAGATTCCGCTGTCTGACATGATTAATAGATTCCTACTTTTTTAGTCATAGAAAAATGATGAAATTGCACGAAGACGTTATTCAAAAAAATGCTCTTGCGTCCCATTGATATTGCCATCTAAGATATAGTAAAAAAAACCACCTTGGAAATCGTGTTAACTAATAAAGGGCTTCTAACAATTATTTTCCAAAGTTAAAAACATAAAACATACGGGGTCGATATATTTGCCGCTGCTAGCATAAACTTCTGCAGGGACATCTTCGTCAGATTCTTTAGCAGCTGGAGCTACATAGAACTCCTCAACCCGGAAGTCATCTGGAATATCTTTTGAAGAAGAGAATGAAATTGGAGGGTAATAAAGGTAAAGAAATACTTTGGCGCTAGCTATACTTACACTCTCCTTGAACATCAACGCTTTCTACCAAATCGAGGTGGAAACACAAACGCTCATCTCCTTT